GAGAGAGAGAGAGAGTCTAAAACTGAGTGAAACTCTAGAAGTGTAGGCCCTCATTCCGTCATTTTTTTTCTGCTGAGATTTTACTTGCGCAATGGGGAGTCGAGAAGACTCTTGCTTATGTTTGGTGCAACCTTGATTTGAGGAGATTGGAGTGGGATGTGCGACCTCCTTGGAGGAGTTCTAAGGTGATTTTATAGTTGGTTTGTTTTGTTCTATTGATTTTATTGTCCAATATGGTATTTTTTGCATGGACATGGAAGTTTGCTAAGTTTCATTTTTGTTCGTGTTTTCTTGTCGAAGAGTTTGAATTTTCACGATGAGATATTGTCCATAGCAACACTTGTATGGTGATTTGTTGTATTTGCAATAGAATTGTGCAAATTTTTAATCGACAATACTGGGTATTAATCTCTGAGTAGATGAAAGTCATGGCTTCAAAGAATTTTATGGCTGAGCTCCTAAAGGTCGAGAAGTTTATTGTTTTAAACTGAGCCTCATGAAAAGACAAAATTCAATATATGTTTGACGAGGAAAGATGCAGCCATATATGTTCACCTCCACTTGTTCTTATCAACCTGGTGGTTATGATGGCCAAGCCACAAGGGATATCTACGCTCAACAAAACACATCAGTGGGGCATGTCTTACATACCTTGATGAAAGGTGCACATACTCACAAGTACCTTGAGAAAGGCTTTGTGACATGTTCCTTGACCATGAAAGCTTTGGCAATACCTGCGTGTGTAACCTGCTGAGTTCTTTGCCAGATTCTTTGGAGGTCTTTACAGCTTCACTTGCAGAAAGTGGCTCATCTCTCAAGCTTGAGGAAGTAATCAAACTACTTAAGGCAGATGTAGAGGGGAGGAATTCTAGAGCAAATACTGACTCTTAAAACATTGTGTATATGGTAAGCCTAAAACCCCAAGCACATACAAGGGGAAAAAAAGGATTTTCTAGATGGAAGAAAAACTACCTCTTGTAAATGATAAGGATAAAGCCTGAGCCACTGAAAATCAACAGAGGGATTGTAAGAAGATGAAATGTTGTAGCCGTGCTATGTTTGGGCAGATAACTGAATATTGTAAGAATAAGGCAACAACTAAGCCTCTTCTTCTTCCTTTTTTTCTCTCTTTTTTTATTTTTTGAGGCATAGCAAGAGCCAGTAATGGTCTTAGAAGCCTTGTTGATTAAATGTGTCGAGAGTGGGTTGAATTGCCTCATGATCAAAGTATGATTCGAAACAAAAATTTGTATGCTCTTGAGATGAGGAAAAGTCTGATCTTATTCTTTTAACTCTCACATTCCAAGGACAATGGTAAAAGTTAGAAGCGATTCTATTGATGGAAAACTTATCATGTCCAGGTTATTTTTTGATGGTCTGTTTGTTCTTAATTTGGTCTTAATGAGTATTCCATTGCTTATGTTTCGTCTTGCGATGATGGATGTGAGGACAATTCTTACATGTGATGTATAAGGCTTGGCCACATCATTTGCAAGCATATAGAGAGGCCTAGGAGAGTAAAGTTTTTGCAAAATCTCAAAGGGATTTTTTCAAGATTCTATTAATTGTGTGTGCAAGGTAAAGTAGATTAAAAGATCCTATTCAAAAGCTCAAATAGCTGTTTGTGTGTTAGATGTCATTACAATGTTGCTTCGAAAGGTGACAAGAGGCACTTCATCACTTTTATTGATGACCCCTTGTGATATGACCACATTTACCGCCTGAAAAATAAATCTAGAGCCTTAGAGAGCTTTGGAGACTACTGTGCAGCAGGAGAAAACCAAACCAATAGGAAATTTATAGTTTTATGTCCTATAAAGGAGGAGAATAGTCATTTCTAGTTGTTTAGAGTGTTTTGCACTAGGCATAAGATTATCCATCAATATACTTGCCTAATACACTTGAACAACTTGTGGTGGCTGGGATAGAATAGGATCCCAGTTGAGATGGTGACGAGCATGATTTGACACTTAAAACCATACTAGATTTTTGAGGTAAGGTTGTGTTGACTGCGGGTTACGTCCTGAATAGGATTCCCACTAAAATAGTGCCTCTGTCACTTACGAGATTTTCACTTGTCGTGCTCTGCACCTTGATCACCTCAGCATTTGTGGTTGTTTTGCTCTTGCCTTGTTCCTTCCCTGAATACGTCCGCAACAGAACCCAAACTATTAAGTGCATTTTTATGGGTATGCCCTGCATGGAAATGGGTTTCCTTTCTACTATCTCGAAAATGGGTCTGTCATTGAGAGTAGAGATACCAATTTTTTTCAAGGATGAATTCCTTGAAAGATGCTACATCCAAAAGAGAGCTGAATTCTATGAGAAAAGTAGTTGAGAGATATAGATATAAGCCCCACCTCAACTGAGTATAGTATCCAAAATCAGAAAATTTGTTGGATGTTTGGGGATGTTGAGGAGTTTGTGTACCGCTTATTGCTGCACTGAGCTCGCTTTCTCTCCTTTCCCATGCCCCTGGGGTTATTCATGCCCTTTTCTTTTTTTTTTCATTTGGGTTATTGGTTGTCATCTTCACATGAAGCACTATGTAATATGATGTTTGTGTCATGTCGTGATTTTTTGAAGCATCTTTAAAGATGGAATAAATTTCATTTGAGGTTGGGCTCAACTAGTAACTGAAAATGTTAAATGATTACTGTTGTCTGGAAGAGAGTACCTTGGGAATAGAGCATTCACTAGGTTTGTTTGCAACAGTCTCTAAGGTAGTCGGTCTCTATGGCAGTTGTCAATCTTATTTGTTGCCAAATTTTGATGCAAATTTTCCTGGGTCCTTGATGGTTGAGAGAAGTTAGTTGAATGTAGTTGATGGACTCATTGCTTAATTTAGGAGAATTGCCGACATTGTGAAGGAGATGCTTGTGACTGCACATCAAGTTGCAAATGGGGTTGTTGACTCCTCCGTGAAGTAAGGGGTGGACAGAGAGAGGGAAGGGTTGAGATGAACTCCATGTCTTGGACTAAGATGTAAGTTGGATTATCAAATATAGGGATAAAGAGGGCATAGAACATATCAATGGGGATGATCCTACTTCCACTTCATAACCCCTTGTCCTTGTCTTTTCATGCACTGTTTGAAAATTCTACTAATTAAAAAAGGAACATGGACGTGCTTGCAAGGCAAAAGGGCCAGCTGAGATGGACTTGTGAATAAAGTGATAGCAGCGGGAGGAATTTTGAGACGTGGTGAAAAGCAAGAAACCAGAAGTTATCAACATGTTATCTCATGGATGAAAGGGTTATGACCTTATGGATGTGCTATTGGGCATCAATGTGTGATGGAATGGAAATTTACCTTAACTTTATGTTCATGGGGACTTTTTCTCTTCCCATGTTCTGTTCCAGTCCTCAGGCATCAATAGGAATTGATGAGAGCGAAATGGAACCCCATACAATCCAATTGAAATTGTCATTTCTTACCAGTATGTTTTCTTCAATTTCTATAACTTTATGTTTACGGGGACTTTTTCTATTGGCCTTTTTTCTGTTCCAGTCCTCAGGTAGCCATAGGAATGGATGAGAGCAGAATGGAACCTCATATAATCCAATTAAAAATCGTCATTTCTTGTTAGTCTGTTATCCTCAATTTCCACTACACATTCCTAATGGGTGATGGGATGTTTTTTGGTTTCCTGAGAATCTGATCCCCATTATTGATCCTTCTTAAAGTACTTCATTAGGCAGCTATTCTTGTACCATTTTACTTGTGATAGATGTATAAGTAGGGGATGTCTGCTATAATGAACTGGGCTATGGACAAATTGTCCCCCATTGGGTTGTCAACATCTTCTAATCCACTGAAATGATGAACCGTGATAAGAGTGAATGTTTTCCACTACTGGGGTCATGTCTTGTTTTGGTGAGCCCACTCTACCATGTTCTACGTCATTTCAGTGGACACTGGTGAACCAATGGGCTATGTTTTTCTTAGAACATACTATAGAGATGTTTGTGCTGTATTGAGGAAAATCCAAGCGACTATATTGGTCGCTGACTTTTGAATTCTGATAATTAAGAAAGATTGTTTAGCTTCGCATGTATTTGCTATGGAAGTTGCTCTTAGTTACTCCTTATCCTTAAGATTGTTTTTCCTCGATACAGTGTTATCTGTTTTATGTTAGAAATATTGCCTGCTTTCTTTTATATCACATTAATTATCCTCTATACTGGGCATTGTGCTTCCAAGGGTGGTCACCTTGACTTGGCATATAGTCTCCGGATTTTCTCGAGCATATCATAACTTTGACGAGTTGATATTCCTTATTGTCAAATTCTATCAAATCTTGAAGTTCAGTTATTCTGAATCCTACTGCTATATTATATCATACTGCTATACTATCTAAAAAAAATGCATTTGGTGATATCATTTCTATTGATATATCTGCAATCTATTATTGATTAAGATAGTAATTTTTCTTGTTCAGCAATTAAGTGACTCAGTCCCATTATGCTTAGTATTTTTGTTATTCATCGCAGCTATATGAAAGAGGGCATGAGAACAAGTGTGGAAGCGATTCTACTGGTTAGTTCCCACTGTTTCTATTTATATATCCTATCAACAGCCATTCTAAATTTACTTTTTTTGAATATGTTACATGATTATCTTGTGTATGATTTGGGGAAATGTTATTATATTATGCAGCCTTTATCTTTATGCCTTTTCTTTAATGGGCTATATTGCCTGGCTGTGGGCATTCTTTTACTGGGTCCTCTACTGCACTTGAAGCTCCTGCCCAATTAGTACGTAAGAGATGAGATTCATCTTGATGTTTTCTCCCAGTGCTCTCTTCCTATTCCACACTTCTAACCCTTCCAAAGAAATTGTCAGGACACTTATCTTTCAAAACAAAATGAAATGAGGGTCATCAGAAACTTGGGAGGAACATGTGAGGGGCTTTGTGGTTGACAAAAATCCTCAAGTCTTTTCTGAAAGCACATCATTTTGTTCAAGTTTCTTATTATTTCATATTCTATTGTTAGTTTGTTTGCTCCTCTTGGAGCAAGTTGATGTAAATGGTTTCTCCAATCAATATAAATTACATAACAAAAAAAGGAGAAAATCATATCATGTGATATTTTTGCATAAAATTTAAAGTTTCAATCCTTGTAATCTGTATTGTGTTTCAATGAACATTTAAGAGTTCTAGGATGTATATGTTTGACTTATTTTGTTCTCTCTTTGCAAAGTGATATGTAGTTTTGGTATGACGCAGGTACAGGAACATAACCATCCACATATACTACTACTTCAAATTGGAAATACCTTCTGTAAGCTCCCTGGTGGGCGTCTGAAGCCTGGGGAGAATGGTGAGCCTTTGTGGTTGCTATCTTTATTTTTGCAAACACTTCTCACACAACTGCTGCTTTCTTGAAGTTTAAATTTCTTGAATGTTGTCATTTGAGTGTTCTTATCAGCGCTTCCTGAATCTTGCAGAAATTGAGGGCCTAAAACGCAAATTGTCAAGTAAATTGGCTGCCAATGCTGCTGCCCTCCAGCCTGATTGGCAGGTAGTAATTCTTACTGTCGTTAAATGTGCATTGATTTATTTTAGTTTGATGTTTTTTCTTTTCATCTGCTTATTGTAGTGCCCACAGATTACAATGACTGGTAATGCTCATGAACATTGTATTGCTAATTATCAGCAAAAATAAAATAAAATTGAAGAATGTTTGAAGTTTTGTTCTTTTGGAATGGAGGGGCATAGAAGGTTACTATATAAAAAGTGACCCATGTATATGAAATTTTACCATATCTACTCTTTCTCTCTCTCTAATTTCGGAAGTCTTTTTTTTTTGAGATGATTTAAGTCTTTTATGTTTTTTTTGCAAAACACATGCCACCGTTTGTGCCGTGTGTGTATGGAATTCGTACTTATTCTGGGGTCTGGCACAGATTTTGTGTGTGATCATTGTATCGACTCACATTTATGGGTTTGTTGGCCTTGTCACAGATTGGAGAATGTGTGGCCATATGGTGGAGGCCGAACTTTGAAACCATAATGTACCCATACTGCCCTCCGCACATCACCAAACCTAAGGTTGGAACCTGCTTGTGTGTGTGTGTGTGTGTGTGGCGAGAGAGAGAGAGAGAGAGAGAGAGAGAGAGA